ACTAGCGAAACGACTAATCGCGCACAGTTCGTTCATTTGTTTTGAAAGTAAATTTTTCCATGGATACCCCGGCTTGCTTTTAAGCAGCTCTTGGAAGCGGGAGTTAAGCGATATCCTTGTTAACCTGTTTATTTTTATGGCGCGTTAGCACTCATTCTGTTTCCGGATGCCTTAGTTTCCCACAGAAAATGAATATGGAAGCGAGTTTTGATTTTTACTCAAAAGAGTTTCCTACTATCGAAATGTCGTTACTGAGGATCTTTCCTAATGCTTTCACTAAAAAAAAATCACTGAATGGAAAAGTCTAGCTGGCTCAGGCTACAAGGGTAAAAAGGGGAGCAAATGATTTAAATCGGATGGAAATGGATAGGTTAAATTTACTTACCACAGACAGCAGCGTACCAATAAATTTGGAATTTCGGTGTTCTTTCATAAACCCTGGAAACAGAATTTTTAAACAACGTTTTTTCACAATACTGGTCTGGCACTGACCAGCTCTTAAGGCTTAAAATGAATTTGAGAAAAGAACAATGACCGTCGTGATTTTTATTTTTAGTTCGTTCTTTTCTCCATGCTCTGAAAAGCCCTCAAGCACAGTAGTGAGCTGTAATGACACCAGTTTTAAAAGGGTTGCTCAAAAACAGGGTGTCGCTGCCTATCAAAAGGGATTTTTTTCATTCATTTCAGTGACATAGAACGTTTTTTAGATGTTTTTTTTCGAAGCATTCCCTTAATGCAGGCCTTTCTGGGATATTTTCATGAAATCTTTAACTATTGAACACTTTTAGTGAAATTTAAAGTACTTATCGGTATTTATTCATTAGATTGCGTTTATATTTCTGCTTAAGCCTCACTACTAATTTAGCATTAGACATTAAATATCAAATAGAAAACTGGATTTTCATGCGGAAACTGTGGTGTGCAGCACGTGCACAGACAACAGAGGTTGCCCTCAAAAATGGGAGATGCAAATGTTATTGAACAACATGCAATATTTCCCGTGCAATTTTTCAGGGCTAGACGTCGCGAAATTTGAAAACAACTACGGGGGAGGGGACACCTGCACGGTTAGGTGCAAAAGACGAAACAAGAATGTCTTTGCACTAAGTGAAGTTGATGCTTATTTGACAAAGAAGATGATGGATTTAGAGATTTCTTTCTGCTAGGCAATTTTTTGTGGAAGTTCAAAAGTTTTACTGACAGTGGAAATATACAGCGGCAATCCTTCAGCTGACCTGACCTGAGCTACATGACCTCGTGGTCAGTTTGTTAGTGAATTTTACATTCGTTTCGCTAGTTCCTAATCTGTTGTTTGCTCCCTTACTAGTACCTGCGTTGTATAAATATATCTAGTGTAAATATATCATTTTGAATCTTGTTTCCCGATTTTTTTTTGTCAGTTACTTGCCAGAATGCCGCATTCCGCACAACTAAGAAGCATTTAAAAAATATATCAAGAAAAAAGGCTTTGACTCATCTTCATTTTTAAGCATCCATAATTTTGCTCTCTGACTCATGCATGCGCACTTTTACGCTGCTCTGCTTTTTTCAAATTTTTTTTTTCAAAAATTTTAGGCCAGCTGACCTTTTTTTCCTTGCTTGCATTCCAATAATACATTCAAATAACCTGAGCACTCTTTGTTTTCTTGATCGTTTTTTTCCGACTCCGTTAATACATTTACCAAATCAACGCGTTATGCTTGAAGAAATACTAACTCTTTCCACGTAGGCACTTCCCATTTCTTGGTCTTCTCATTGAATCGTTGGGCCTTTAACCACAACCCAAACAGTGTTGGCAGAATGATGCATGTAAATGGGACAGTCGTGCTTCCGAAGAAATCCATAATCGAGCCGAAATTTGGCACTGATAATGCAACAAACAGAATCACTGTTAATAAACCCGTACGAATCGCAACCCGTTGCCAGCACATCTCTGGAAAAAAAAAAAACTCCGGATGCCACAAAATATTTCTGTTCGTCATACAGTCTTTAGAAATAGTCTTTAGAAATAACTTCTGGAAAACTGGCTATACGCCTCATGAAATAATCATAAGCATATAGTTCTACAACCTACTTCTAGACAACTAGTTCTGAATAAGCCAGATTAGCTATAAATTAGTTCTGGATATAAAACATTTTCGTTAACTTTTTCTGGACATCGTAAAGTAATTTTTAAGGAACGCAGGATCATCAAGTCGACCAGTGAGCGGTGAAGTATTGCTGTCAGTATGGAAATGCAAAATCTATACGGCGGATCATCGTACGTCACTTCTAATAGTGTGTGTTGAACAGTGTTGCACTCTGTTAAAAAGTGAGATAAAGTGAAATTTCTGGATCCGTCCAAGAAATATATTTTGGATTCTGCATTCAGTCAAGCAGTGGATGTTTTGGCGCGCAAAGTAAGTTCTTGTTCACGTAATATCATTTAGCTTTAATCATTACGTATCTGTTTTATAAAAAAGTGGGAACGGGTTTTTTTATCTTCCTTTTCCGCCATTCGAAATCAACTTCAGTTTAAAGCTGTGCAACCAGTGAACCAATCAAATGAGTCTTCCCTGGACACTTTAGCAACCCAACTGACTGTTTCTGTTTTAGGGTCCAGTGACTTACACTTTCAGCGCTTGAACAAAGTCGCGGTTTATCAGATGCCGGGCCTAGCGCATTTTACGCTTCCATAAATACTCATATTTAAAGGTGACGAACTGTGAGGTGCGTGAAAAATGTCCTCGAGCTGCTGATTTATCGGATTGATTGTGAGGATAATGGTCAACACGCAGTGGAAGGCAATCGCCAAGTCGGATGCGTATCGGATCCAGCTTGTCTGCAGTGAGTTGATTACCGAACTGATCATGCTGCTCCCATAGACGGCGTAGGAAAACACCGATACAGGCATGTACAAGGAACATGTCACTGCAAGCAATTACATACTAACGGATACTAAGACAAATGAGCTAATCATCTCACATTCACAAGCATGGAAATTAGCCAGGTATTGGCTTTCCACTAGCTTATCATTTTAGAATTTGCTTTAAATATGTTCCAAGTTGGAAGATCGCCTGTCGTGGGATGAAAAAGTTGCACTGAAGTGAAAAAAAGGTTTAGCAGAAGTTCAGCTGGACAGATCTGTGATTTAATCAGAAGACAGCAAAATTTTGTTGGACATGCAAAAATTTAGTGAGGCTAAATCACTAAAAGTGCGCTAAAATTTTGAAGAGACAGCTCTAAATAAGCCTAAAAATTTTATGCTTTTGAAGGATTTTTTAACGGAGCCATCCTCTGTCATCTTGGCCAAGGAATGCCAGAAATTGAATTACTTTAGAATCCGAAGCCAAGGGATTCGCCGTCTTGATAGTGCTACGTTGTAAGGACAATACAGATATGAAAAATGTTTAGTAACGGAAGAGGTAGGAAGTACTAGGATGTAATAACAAAGAATGATGTGAATTGAAACACAACGCAAAACATACACAGTCATCATTTCTGACTGTCACTGTTATTTAAACATTTAGTAAAATAAGCAAAATCCCCTCTGTATTTACTTGCTTGAGAAATGGGAGTATCCTGAAACAGCCCGAGTGGTAGTAAATGCCGTCAGCCACTACCGTCCTGAAAAAACTGTCGATGGTATCCACCTCCGAAGTTTGCTTAGAAGTAACGAGTTTGACTCATTCGCATGTGCTAATACCACTTTACTATGAAAAGAAACGAACAAATCATGCACGGTCACTGGTGGTCTCATCAGCGGAATTGAATCCTCGACCTACTGGACGACAAAGAAAAGCACTTGCTAATATGCCACGCTCGCCGGCATTTAAACGTATGTTTCTCAAAATTACTTTCGTTATAAACCAATCACTGACTGGAGTATCCGAGCAAGACAGATTTGGTGAACTGTTTGGGCTCATACATGTCGTGCTGCACCGTCGGGAAAACATGATGGCCACTGAATGCGAATATAAACGTTCCTAGGCTGTAAATTGAACGGTATGATAAGTCATCGTAAACGGCTACCGACTTGCAATCGTAGTCCAAGCCAATGCCAATCATGATCAAAATCACTGCGAATATGGTGCACGAGAGTGCGAACACCACAACAACCCTTGAATTTTCAATAATTAATAGCACATTTGTGTAGCTTTCCTAATAATCGCACATCAAGAAAGTCTTAACCGTTTTAAGCTCATCAAGCTTCCAAGTGCTGCCACTTACTTTTAAGTATCAGTGAATTCCGTAGGGCAATATGTATATGCCTCCGATCTAGAAACGCTAGCGGATTTTCGAGAGCGAAGGGCACTTTTGTTCGTTTAAAGCCTTAAAAGAGCGTTCACAAATGTTGCCGCGAACGAAACCCTTTTTTGCTAAGCAAAGAATATGGATAAACAGGGAATCAAACGTCCCATTTTCACCAACTCCGCTTGCTTCAGTCATGACGCGTTATCCATTACACTACCGGCCCTCGTGCTCTGCATCCTATTTGGAGCATTCCATTCGTACCTGCGCTACTCGCGTACATATCACTCCGAACTGCCTAATGTTGCCAACATGCGGTACATTCTTCCTAAATTCCATCGGCTTCTCATGGATATCCACGACAAATGCCCTCAAAAACTCTATACTCACTCTGAATGTGTTGCCATTAGTGAGTGTTGGTTGTCATTAGTTGTTATTACGCGGTACCTTCACATCTCATAAGACTGTAGATATGAAAGGAGTTTTGACTTTTCCAGCCTGACACACCCTCAATGAAGGCGTATTTTTGGATAAAAAAAAATCATGCGGCACTAACCAGAAATCAGCTGGTGATTTGAGGAATGTAACTGGCCAGATCATTATGGTCAATATGAGAAGCAGCAGGCAGAACTTCAATCGGACACCGAAAAATGCCAGAAAATTGTGGAAGATAGAGGAAGAGAGGATGACGTACACAGTTGTTGTGCCAAACAAAGTGATGTAGACACATAGCGCTGTAAAAACCCTGAAATTCACATATTTCCCAGCTTTTTTGTGAAAATTTTCTTCCGAAATAACAGAGGTAAAGTAACAGACTATTGTTTGTTATCGCAACCGACAACGCTTGGCAAAAGGCCGCTTCTCGCATAAGGATTTTTGAACCTCTGGTAATCTTGAACTGTTTACGAATCCACCTTTTACTTTGTTCTGAGTTTAAAATGAGAAACAGAATTCCTACTTAAGGTATAAATCTTGTCGCGGTCCAAAATCAGATTTCACGTCATAGTGGAACTATCTTAGGTTGTAAGATCTCAAAGATCCTAGAACTTGCTAGTAGAATCTGTGGCAGAGGTCGCTAAATAGGAAAACAGTAAAAACGGGAAGCTGATTCCGGGACATTCATGCGTAGTGAATAATTCAGCAAAATTTCAAGTTCATGCTTCCATTCCTTCTCGGGGAATAATACTAAGTCCATTTCAGACTAGAGGTCAAAGGTAAATTCGAAACACCGTTGACTAAAAACGCACTTTCAATAACGTAAAAGACCAAAGACTACTACTTAAATTTCAGCTTGCTCGCTTACATAATTTTTAACCTTAACTGGGAAGGTGTACAAATGAATTTGCCACGGCCCAATTTGTTCATGGGTTAGGTCATATCTTAATATGACCTCAAAAATTGTCCGAAAAAGCTACAGATTGTGCATGAAAGTGTGTAGCTTAAGCATTAACTTAAGCACTTGACACAACCCTCTATTTATGTGAGGTAAAAATTTTAGAATAATTGATACGGCTTCTCTTTATAATTCAACATTACATAGTAAAGATATAATGGATGAATGATTTCTACTCGGAAATGATCGGTGACAATGATACCTCATTTTTGGTCCAAAACTTCGCATTCCAATTTCTGGATAGGGCCTGCGGCAGTGTTGCTTGTAGACTGGCCACCTGTCTCGCATGATTCCCCACGTCTGGGCAAGTATATATGCAGTGGATGTGAAAAATATTGCAATAACCACCATGAACGAGCACCCGAGCAGCATGCCTGCAAATTCATTTATTAAAAAACGACACATTTCAAGATTTGAGTGGATAGAGTGAGAACCTGAAGTGTTTGCAACAGAACGCATTTTGGAGGAAAAATTGGTGCAGTGTTGATTTTTTTTTTTTTTTTTTGAATTTTGCTACGACCGATGGTGTGCTGTTTTATGCGTTTTTTGCAGCAATGCAATGCGAAAAACGCATATTGACGAGAGGTTGTCTGTATGTC